AAACATCTAAAGTGGGGCTAATGATCCAAAATAAATAATTAGGTGCGGTCCAAATCCAATACTCGAGAATTCGAAGTTTGTCTACCGTAACCAATGTTGGGCTAAGAAGTGTCATATTCGAAGCCGTGGCTTTTTTCAAATTTAAGTGTTATCAGTAAAAATCGGCAAGATTCTTTTACAAATACTGCAGCCTGCTTTGCTTGGAAATCTTAAGATAAGATAAGTTTATTTCGACTCCATAATCAGCAAAAAGGCGATAAAATGGTTGGTAAAAACAAATAAATAAAAACTGATTATAAAATCAGGAGAGTAAACAAAACCTTGGATAAGGTTTAAAACGTACAGAATATAAGATGGAAGGTATTGCCAAAAAGATTTCTTATTTTAAATTGGATTAAGACAAAATCGACTGATATGCTGGAATCAAGACTCTTGGTCTGACAAAACGTTAGAGAAATACATTTGTGTTAGTGTGCAGCAGGACTGTTGAATCGCATATTACCGGTACCAGCACTAGTATACTCGGCAAATGACAGCTTTGTGAACCACGTTGTTAAATAGACCTTATTCATTAAAAACCCATCCTACGCGCAAAAAGAAAAGTAATGTAAAAAAAAGCTCTTATGGGGAATGTGATCACCAGAGCAGAAATTTTTCGTAATTACCTAGATATCTTTCAATGTAGACGTGTGCAGTTTTGAGGATAGAATATTTTTTACATCTTTTTTGATATTCTTATCATGATAAACATGGTCAAGATTTTTGATAATCGTTCATTAATTAATTTTAATGAGCGCGGTGTTTCCGAAGACGTCATTCGCACTAGACCATGAGATTCTGCCAACTCGCCGTGCTCTGTGGCATATGCGCTGCAAATGCGGCGCTAATGTCGCTTTGGGTACGGTACCGGTACTGGAAGCGTTTAACATTGACAATCTATAACCCATACCATTTCTATCACGTTTGTTTACTGGTTTTACGCATTTATACCTGTACAGCTAGCAATCATTTACTGAAGGCATGCTGACGTGTTATTTAAACTACCGGTACCGTACCAAGGCTGCAAGAGGTGAAAACTAAATTATTTAGTAAATACTGAAATAAGCCTACGAACAGAAATGTTGGCCAGCCTGCCAATAGGCAGGATAAGTTGTACGGTACTGGTATACAAAAAAGATGAATATCTCCAACTTATAATGGTACAATACCGGTCTCCTAACTAGGTTAAAAACATGACTGAATACGAGAGAGAGATTATTGCTGTTATTATGATGATAGTTTGGGTCTCCCTAAAACCAGGCACTTGCGAATTCAGGCACTTTTCAGGCACCATTTCAGGCACTTTGATATTTTTTATTTTTACCGTACGTCATTGGGATTTCCAATTTACCTGACAAGATAATTAGACTTTAAATAATTTTTTGCATCCCTATATTGCAATAAAACAATATTATTTCCAATTTATTAGGGTATAAATAATTTTTCAATAGTAAAATGTGGCAACATTGATTACAAAATATAGAAATCAGGCACTTGTGAAATTTCAGGCACTTGGTCAAAACCTATTTTACAATGTATCTGATTACTCTAAAACAGAAAATTAAATATATACACTTTGTATGGTTGAATTTACAACATTTTGGTAAAATACAATACCGTTTGTGACTGATGGAGACGTGTCATATTTCGCAAGTGCTTGATTTTTCATTTTTCTCGGTGACAGTTGCCATATTTTTTCGCAAATATTTTCTTGAATTATTTGCGTCAGCACTTACTATTCTTTGCTTTCTAACGCAAATTCATTGTTCCACAACAATTTGAGCGTTTTTAATATTGCAATGAGCAATACCATTTGACAACATATGGTCAACCATCGTACTTTCTGGATTTATTCGAAATTGAATATGAATAATAAAATCTGGCAACCTCAAGCACAAAATACTAAAACCAGGCACTTGTGAAATTTCAGGCACTCCGTAAAAACCTATTTCTCGATGTTTTTACTTACTTTGAAGCAGAAAACTAAAATATACACTCTTTTGTATGATTGAAATGACGTCTTTTTGGTAAAAAACAAGAACGATTGGGACTGGTGATAAGGGGTCGAATTTCGCAAGTGCCTGATTTTTCATTTTTTTCGATAACAGTTGCCATATATTTTCGCAACAATTTTTCTAGATTATTTGCGTCAGCACTTACTATTCTTTGCTTTCTAACGCAAATTCATTGTTCCACAACAATTTGAGCGTTTTTAATATTGCAATGAGCAATACCATTTGACAACATATGGTTAACCATCGTACTTTCTGGATTTATTTGAAATTGAATATGAATAATAAAATCTGGCAACCTCAAGCACAAAATACTGAAACCAGGCACTTGTGAAATTTCAGGCACTTCGTAAAAACCTATTTCTCGATGTTTTTACTTACTTTGAAGCAGAAAACTAAAAGATACACTCCTTTGTATGATTGAAATGACGTCTTTTTGGTAAAAAACAAGAACGATTGGGACTGGTCATGAGGGGTCAAATTTCGCAAGTGTCTGATTTTTCATTTTTTTCGATAACAGTTGCCATATATTTTCGCAACAATTCTAGATTATTTGCGTCAGCACTTACTATTGTTTGCTTTCTAACGCAAATTCATTGTTCCATAACAATTTGAGCGTTTTTAATATTGCAATGAGCAATACCATTTGACAACATATGGTCAACCATCGTACTTTCTGGATTTATTCGAAATTGAATATGAATAATAAAATCTGGCAACAGCAAGCACAAAATACTAAAACCAGGCACTTGTGAAATTTCAGGCACTTCGTAAAAACCTATTTCTCGATGTTTATATTTACTTTGAAGCAGAAAACTAAAATATACACTCTTTTGTATGATTGAAATGACGTCTTTTTTGGTAAAAAAGAAAAACGATTGGGACTTGTGATGAGGGGTCAAAGTTCGCAAGTGCCTGATTTTTCATTTTTTTCGATTACAGTTGCCATATATTTTTGCAATACTTTTCATAAAATCTTTTTCGTCAGAACTTACTAATCATTGCTTTTTAAAGTAAATTCCTAGTTCTACAACAATTTCAGCGTTTTTAATAATGCAATGAGCAATATCATTTGACAACATATAGATAACCATCGTACTTTTTGGATTTATTTGAAATTGAATAGGAATGATAAAATCTGGCAACCGCAAGCACAAAATACTAAAATCAGGCACTTGTTAAATTTCAGGCACTTTGTAAAAAAACATTTCCCGATGTTTTTGATTACTTAAAAGCCGAAAATCCAAATATACATATTTTGTATGACTGAATTTGGTATTTTTATTGTTCAAAACAAGAAGAACTGTCACTGGTATGAATGTGGCAAATTTAGCAAGTGCCTGATTTTTTGGTTTTGTCAATGGTAGTTGCCATATCTCTATAATTTTTGTCTTTTTTTTTTATATGTTGTTTCCCTATTGCATTATTTTATGAAAGTCAATGTTTGTATGAGAGCTCCACTTAGCATAAATGGAATTAAACTTTTAACATCAGTATCTACATCCGGAAATTGGTATTTAATTAAACCAATCACGCTTTTGCAAAACTATTTGAATATTGTAAAGTTTGAATGACATTGTGTTGTTTATTTTTATTAATTCAAAAGTATTACATATGTATTATTTGAATACGGGTTTAAATTTGACAGATCTGTAAAGAATATTAGTTATTCAGACGACATCTTTATAGTAATGTTCGGAACCCTTGAAATTGGTTCAAAACTTCTTCTAATTTGTTATAAACATTTCGACGTAATATATTACCCAGGTAGCAACAATCGCATTGTTATAAAGAACCTAATTTGTCTTCTGGCAATATTAGTTCGAAATTCCAGTTTTAATTGTTATCGGACGACGATTTTAATAATGTAATTCGGCCTATGACTTCATATAAACTACATAACAGAAACAATTGACTTATGTCGTATAGAATTTTTTATAATACGTATCCAAGTCACATTATCCCCTAATAGAACATAATTTACCGTTCACAAAATGTATAAAAGTCTGTGCAAAATCTATATTGACAACCAGCGGTGTTCAACCACGGCTACAATAAAGATATTCAATCACTTGACGTTGCTGTTGTATAATATTCTTTACAACCTGAAGATCTGACTGTAATATCTTTTCATGGATAGTTTATGGAATGGATTTCATGGATAGTTTACGTAGAATTATTTATACATTATTTCATGCTGTAACAGCTAACTGTAAAACACGTAGTTCCTAAATAAGAAGAATGGCTACAGGATGGTAAATACGAGATGGCAATGTCACCTAAACAAAATTCGCTCGGCGAATGACATCAGGTAGCTGATATGCCCAAAGTTAGGCTTAAAAGCATCGTTAAACGAATGTTACAATAAAAATCCTTCAATATTCAACACGCCAGTAGTCAGTCAACGAATTTTTTTGCGTTATTCAAAAAGTTACAAATATATAAAAACGTAAAACAGTAATTGTTTTTAATATCACAGAAGCCGTATTAAACTCTCGATTATAGATCTTTCTTCATCAGTAATTGGGGATATAAATTTGAATTTAAATTTATTAAGGAGATAAAACATTAAAAACACAACTTCACAAAGGAAGTGTATGAGTGAACACTAATCGAAGCTTTCAGTTTGAAAATTATTAGAAATATTGAGTATCCAATGAAAATCCTTACTATTTGTTCTATTTTGACATGATATGATTTACGTATCTTGCAATTAGATAAAACCACAGATCTAAGAATTGAAAATTTTAAATGTCAGTTCTGAAATTAAACATGAAAAGGTTTTGTGTATATTTTGCTACTCTTATATGTCGGGCGTATAGTTTCTTCATGTCGCGAATGAGCATCAGAATAGGTTGTGCAGAAAATGGTGCTCCCGTAGTATGTGCACAAAGTTGGCACACAACCCGAACATAGTATGTGTACCGAGATAGAGGTAATAGGTTGTGCGCCATCTTGGAGCACATAGGCTACCACGGAAGCGCCCTGAAAATACCCACATTTTAAACACCGACTTACCGAATACAAATTTTACACTTCCACAATTTCGCTTTCGATAATTTCTCACATGTATCATGATACCAACGCTTGCAAACGAAGCATTGATATTGTACGTGCTCCCGTATACATTTCGCACTTTAACAGACACTCCAATTATTATTTTCCAGAAAGCAAAATTCATGCATCGAAATGTCAGAGTATATGAGTGGCGACGATGCAGTGCGACAACGTTCCAAATGTGATTGAATTTTTGTTGACTCCGACTTGTTCAATCTTCCATCTGGGCGTTTTGAAGAGGTATGTACTCACTTCAAATATAAATACTTGCACCACCTTCGGGCAGACGTCGAATTGAAATTAGCGATAAGAATAGCACTCAATATACATCGGATTGTCTTAAAAAACATTTTACCGATAAAGCAAAGTATAGTAAGTACTAAGTTCTGACGAAAATGATTTTATGAAATATATTGCAAAAATATATGGCAACTGTAATCGAAAAAAATGAAAAATCAGGCACTTGCGAAATTTGACCCCTCATCACAAGTCCCAATCATTTTATTTTTTTTATCAAAAAAGGCGTCATTTCAATCATACAAAAGAGTGTATATTTCAGTTTTCTGCTTCAAAGTAAGTATAAACATCGAGAAATAGGTTTTTACAAAGTGCCTGAAATTTCACAAGTGCCTGGTTTTAGTATTTTGTGCTTGCTGTTGCCAGATTTTATCATTCCTATTCAATTTCAAATAAATCCAAAAAGTACGATGTTTATGTATATGTTGTCAAATAATATTGCTCATTGTAAAAACGCTGAAATTGTTGTAGAACTAGGAATTTATTTTAAAAAGCAATGATTAGTAAGTTCTAACTCAAATAATTTAGAAAAATTGTTGCGAAAATATATGGCAACTGTTATCGAAAAAAATGAAAAATTAGGCACTTGCGAAATTTGACCCCTCATCACCAGTCCCAATCGTTTTTGTTTTTTACCAAAAAGACGTCATTTCAATAATAAAAAAAAATTGTATATTTTAGTTTTCTGCTTCAAAGTAAGTAAAAACATCGAGAAATAGGTTTTTACGAAGTGCCTGAAATTTCACAAGTGCCTGGTTTTAGTATTTTGTGCTTGAGGTTGCCAGATTTTATTATTCATATTCAATTTCAAATAAATCCAGAAAGTACGATGGTTGACCATATGTTGTCAAATGGTATTACTCATTGCAATATTAAAAACGCTCAAATTGTTGTGGAACAATGAATTTGCGTTAGAAAGCAAAGAATAGTAAGTGCTGACGCAAATAATTTAAGAAAATAATTGCGAAAAAATATGGCAACTATCACCGAGAAAAATGAAAAATCAGGCACTTGCGAAATATGACACGCCTCCATCAGTCACAAACGGTATTGTATTTTACCAAAAAGTTGTAAATTCAACCATACAAAGTGTATATATTTAATTTTCTGTTTTAGAGTAATCAGATACATTGTAAAATAGGTTTTGACCAAGTGCCTGAAATTTCACAAGTGCCTGATTTACCTCTGGGAAGCTAGCAGCAAAACACGAAATTGAGACTGACAGAATTGCAGAAAATACCCACGCGTAAAATTGAATGTTCCCAATGATTTGTCTTGTTAAAATATGGTAAACAATCATAAAAAAAGACATGCCGGATTAAAGGAAGCAAAGAAACGCAGGAGGAACGGTTTTAAAATTTCAAATAAAAGATAAATGGATTTTCATCAAAAACTTAAAATTATGTCAATTTTTCAATTGAATTTTGGTATTCGACGCAAAATTGACGTAACACGCATATGACGATTTTGGTGATTTTCAAAGCCCATCAGCATGTTGTACCGATCAAGAGGCGGTTGATTTTATTATTTTAAATTAAAGATATAGTCATATAGATTGTAAGCAAAGTCGAATGAATTTCAACAAAAACTTATAAACTTTCGAATTTTTCGATTGAGTTAATCTGACGCGAAATTGACGTAACACGCATATGATGATTTTGGTGATTTTCAAAGCCCATCAGCATGTTGTACCGATCAAGAGGCGGTTGATTTTATTATTTTAAATTAAAGATATAGTCATATACAGTGTTCCCTCTAAGGTGTGCGCGTGTGCGCGCGCACACAGCTTTCAGGGGCTGCGCACACGCATAGATTTACTGCGCACAGACGTATTTCGATGTAATGTAACAATGTGCTCGGTTAGCAGGTTGAGAAAGTTTGTTGTTGGCCCACTTATTACCCGGTTAGAACGCCAAAATATCTTCATTGGTTTTTGCACAAATATTAGTCATTTCCAAAAAAATGCGCACACACCAAAATTTCTGCGCACACATACTACAAAAAATTAGAGGGAACATTGGTCATATAGATTGTAAGCAAAGTCAAATGAATTTCAACAAGAATCTATAAATTTTTCGATTACGTTTTAATGATCTTACACAAAATTGACTTAACTGGTATATGGCGATTTTGGTGACTTTCAAAGCCCAGCAGCCTGTTGTACCGGTCAAGAGGCGGTTGATTTTATTATTTTAAATTAAAGATATAATCATATAGATTGTAAGCAAAGTCGAATGAATTTCAACATAAACTTATAAACGTTTGAATTTTTCGATTGAGTTTCGATAATCTGACGCAAAATTGACGTAACTCGTATTTAGCGATTTGGATGATTTTCAAAGCCCAGCAGCAAGTTGTTCCGGTCAAGAGGCGGTTGATTTTATTATTTTAAATTAAAGATATAGTCATATAGATTGTAAGCAAAGTTGAATGAATTTCAACAAAAACTTATAAACTTTTGAATTTTTCGATTGAGTTAATCTGACGCAAAATTGACGTAACTCGTATTTGGCGATTTTGGTGATTTTCAAAGCCCATCAGCACGTTGTTCCAGTCAAGAGGCGGTTGATTTTATTATTTTAAATTAAAGATATAGTCATATAGATTGTAAGCAAAGTCGAATGAATTTTAACAAAAACTTATAAACTTTTGAATTTTTTGATTGAGTTTTGATAATCTGACGCAAAATTCACGTGACTCGTATTTAGCGATTTTCAAAGCCCATCAGCATGTTGTTCCGGTCAAGAGGCGGTTGATTTTATATGACTATATATTTAATTTAAAATAATAAAATCAACTGCCTCTTGACCGGAACAACTTGCTGCTGGGCTTTGAAAATCACCAAAATCGCTAAATACGAGTTTCGTCAATTTTGCGTCAGATTATCAAAATTCAAAAGTTTATAAGTTTTTGTTGAAATTCATTCAACTTTGCTTACAATCTAAATGACTATATCTTTAATTTAAAATAATAAAATCAACCGCCTCTTGACCGGTACAACTTGCTGCTGGGCTTTGAAAATCACCAAAATCGCTAAATACGAGTTACGTCAATTTTGAGTCAGATTATCAAAACTCAATCGAAAAATTCAAAAGTTTATAAGTTTTTGTTGAAATTCATTCAACTTTGCTTGCAATCTATATGACTACATCTTTAATTTAAAATAATAAAATCAACCGCCTCTTGACCGGTACAACATGCTGCTGGGCCTTGAAAATCACCAAAATCGCTAAATACGAGTTACGTCAATTTTGCGACAGATCATCAAAATTCAATCAAATAATTCACATAATTCCAAGGTTTTGTTGAAATTCATTTGACTTTGCCCACAACTGTATCTTTAATTTTAAATAACTAAATCAACTCCCTCTTCTCCGAATTGTAATGTTCGTCTGACGTCATTGTTGCTTTAGATTTCCTACCGTAGCTGATTTAGTTGAAATACAAATCCATTTTATGATGTTCACATTGTTTATAAAATTGAATAATATACGCTATGTTTGGTATTATATATGGCCAAGTCAAAACGTTCTGCTACTGTTCTGGTATAGTGAAGTCGAATCTATAAGGTATCTGCTTTTCTCCGAATGTATCATGGGGCTGTCTTTATTGGCCGTTTTTGAGAAATCGACGTTCCAAAAACGATAATAATCTTGTATACCTGAAAAATCATTTTTAAATCACTTAGTCTTTTTTAAAACACTATTTTTCAGTCAAATTCGTTGTATTCATCCAGTTTAGAGATTTTTTCATGTATTTCCGTGGTAAAATTATACTTTATCAACCTTTTCAATCTTTATATGTAACTATAAGTGAGCCTTATATGCGCGTGGAAACTATATTCAATATGTAAAAATATTCTGGCTGAAAATGCTGCTAGCTTCACAGTGGTGCCTGATTTCTATATTTTGTAATCAATGTTGCCACATTTTACTATTGAAAAATTATTTATACCCTAATAAATTGGAAATAATATTGTTTTATTGCAATATAGGAATGCAAAAAATTATTTAAAGTCTAATTATCTTGTCAGGTAAATTGGAAATCCCAATGACGTACAGTAAAAATAAAAAAATATCAAAGTGCCTGAAATGGTGCCTGAATTCGCGAGTGCCTGGTTTTAGGGAGACCCTGATAGTTTAATCTTTGGTTAACTTAAGGTAGTGGCATTTTTGTTAACCGTCGGTTTAGCTTTTTGACTGTTAACTTTTGACTTTTGGTTTTGTTAAAGACAAACAAGAAAGTCTAAAGAATAAAGGAAAAAGGTCAACCGTTCTTCCTCTATCTCTACCTGGTTTGACTTTGAAATGATTAAAGTTTGTCGCGTATTTGCAACTCGCCACGCAGAATTTTATATAGTTTATCGGTGTTTATTGGAATATTACGAGTCCACCAGACGATTCAAGGTTCGAAATGTTCGCTTTTTTCCGTCTTCAAGTATAATATTAACCTTCTTTAATAAAATAAACACTGAAACTTATTTATTGGACAAGAAATGGCCTATGAGTCGTTTTCCCAAATTGTTGTTGTTTTTTCTTCCTACTATTCTCCTTGTTGCTGCATTTTTGTTCTAAAAGTTTTTTTTTTTTTTCAACTATTGGACCAATGAACAATTCCGCGATCGCATTTCAACGATCCAGTGGTCAGCGAAGTCGGGAGTTTTTCAATAAGGTAGACCAGGGTGGTCCAAAGCCTTCATGCTGATACATTCCGTGCGGCCCACAGAACAATTTTAGCGTATATTTGTATCTGATAGCAGTATATTTCTATCATTAATTGACTAGCGGGCCATGTTTAAACGATAATTTAAGTATCTTCCCCCCATACAAACTCGCTGTATAAACACTTTATGATAGGTACTAGAGATGTACCGATGTATCGGGTATCGGTATCGGCAATATCGGCCATTTTTTCGGTATCGGCCATGTATCGGTATCGGTTAG